ATGCGGGAAATCTTTTTTAATATTATTTTGTGGAAAGTTATAAATTACGTGCTCGCGGGTCCGGCGACCACGCAGCATTGTTAAGGCTTGAATAAGGGGGCGGGGCCTAATTTATACGGAAAAGTATACTATGACTTCAGACAAAAATATGATATTTATGTAGTTCTCATTATACGTGTAAATGAAATAATCTGCAACGCTGAACAGTATTAGCATGATAAACAACATTATAACTTATCAATGCATCAAAAAAGTTGCTAGTTAAATCCCATGTAGCTTGTTGTAGACAAAGCACTCGTCGCGATGAACTTGTAAACATGACGTTATACTGGTAAAAATGACGTACTTTATGTGCTGTGAGAGGCAAATTGTTGTTTTATCATGATTATTTTGCTGAAAATTAATTAAATTGTAAAGGAATGACTGTAATTCCGAGCACTATATAAAGCGTTAGCTCACAACAACCAGGTAATACCGTAGATCACTTAATTTTCGCGACACCTTATTTTCGTGAGATAGTCATTGACTTTATTTGGGAGACAAATTTTTCACGAATTGTGGTCATTGTTCAATATTTTCTCAAGGAATACTATTAAACGCGATAATAAAATTTTTGCGAGCATATTGTCTCGCGTTTTTACACGAAAATAAAGTTCTCGCGAATAAATAGTGATTTACTGTACCTGAATAATTTGGCCATGAAGTAGAGTCATTCCTTAAATATACTATTGAAGCCCGGAGGACTGGACTGCTCCATACATGAATTTTCGTTTTTCTGTTTGGGATTGAGGTGGGGGGCTATTCTGATTTACAGGTTAATTATTCATTAAAGAACTAAAAACCAAAATGTGTTTTCCTTTCATTAATTATCAGATCCACAAATGTTTACTTCCATGAAACATGGAGATAATGAACAGTATTCAAAATCAAAATCAAAAGTCAATAAAACAATAATAGAAGCAGAGCAAACACGTACCTCCAAAACATCAGAGGTGAGATCAGGTGCCAGGGAGGAGTGAGCACGAGTCACTTAAATTTTTCGTCAATTCATTGTATAAATAAAGGACTAACAATTAGTATGAAAAACATCAGTCAGTATTTGACCCAATGATAAATTATATTTGCTGACAAGGTCATTGTATACACCATAGAACTTAGGAAATAAATAATGATTTTAAACGAGATCGGTGATATTCTTGTTACGCTAACTTGTTTGACATAATTTAATTTAATCAACATCGCCTTAGAAATTGTTCTGATGTAGAGCATGCTCTTGTGTATCGAATCAACTGAGATACCTAAACTCAGTGCTCAGGTGATAAAGGTATATTGCTTCATACGTAAGGGATGTTGACGATAGAAAGTAAAATTCCTAACGTTTATCAAAGGGCATTTTTAAAATATTATCTGTTTTTTTCCAAATTTACGTACGGCTCCGTGTAAAAATCATGCAGAGGGTGATTCATGGGGGTTTTAAGATTTTTTTCAAACTTTGCATGTTGGTAGAGTATGCTAAGATACTCCAAAAAAAATTATAATTTTTTTTTTAATTCTGCCATTGGTATCCATGGCAACCGATTAAGTGTTTTGGGCAAAAAATGGCTGAAATTTCCTCTAAAAAACAGGCAGAATTATCAATATTGAAGATTAAATAAAAAGAAAACTAAAAAATTAAACACTTTTATGTTTATTTTTTATTCAAATACAGCATAAACAGTGGGACGGACAACTTCGGAATGGACATTTTTCCGAACTTGCGCACCCTTTTCCTTTAAAGCTATCATCTTAGGGTTTTTTTTTAAATGGTGGAGTTTTTTATAATCAAATTGATTTATGAAAAAAAAATTCAACATTTTCTGCTAGTTTTTGAGATATTTGAGTTAAAAAAAATCCCATGGGGAAATACCCCACAAAAAACCTCACAAAAACCCCATGGGGTTTATTTTTCACCCCATGGGGTTAATATTTATTTCATAATTCTTACTTGATAATTTACCATGATTACAAGCATTAAGAGAAATAATTTTTTTTAGTGAGACGTGGGTTAAAAAACCCCACGAAAAATAATATGGGTTATTTAACCCTATGGGGTGAAAAATAAACCCCATGGGGTTTTTGAAGGGGTTTTTTGTGTGGTATTTTTAAGTTCATGTTTCCCCATGGGATTTTTTTTTTGATCTCAAATATCTCAAAAACTAGCAGAAAATGTTGAATTTTTTTTTCATAAATCAATTTGATTATAAAAACCCCACCATATAAAAAAACCCTAATATGATAGCTTTAAAGGAAAAGGGTGCACAAGTTCGGAAAAATGTCCATTCCGAAGTTCTCCGTCCCACTGTTCATAAGTAGTTACTTTTCATAACTAGTCAAAATATTTTTTTTTACCAGTAATGTGTTCTAATTTTAAGCTAAAAAGGGGAGATAATCCATATTTGCAAAAACTGTAAATTATCCATTTTTGAGGATTTTTATCTGTCAAAAATTTCTAAAAACTCCACAGCTAATCTATAAAGCCATGGTAGCTTCATAAACACTATATTCTAAAGCAAATAAAAATATAATAAAAACATTTTTGTGCAAATGATTATTAATTTCCGAAAATAGCTGATGAATTTTGTTCAAAAAATGGTAATTTCGCCTTTTTGTCAAAGTCAAATATATGCCATATATGTTGGCTTGTAAAAAAAAAAAATAGCATTTCAAAACCATTTTTTATATATCCAAATTAAAATACATCTTAATTTTTAACTTTTCATAGCTAGTCAAAATATTTTTATTACCAGTAATAGTTTTTAATTTTAAGCTAAAAAGGGGAGAAAATCCAAAATTTCTAAAAACCCCACAGCTAATCCAAAAGGCCATGGTAGCTTCATAAACAGTATATTCTAAAGCAAATAAAACAATACAAACATTTTTGTGCAAATGATTATGAATTTCCCAAAATAAGTGATGATTTGTGTACCAAAAATGGTAATTTCACCTTTTTTGTCTCAGTCCAATATATGCCATATATGATGGCATGTAAAAAATAAATAGCATTTCAAAACCATTTTTTTATATATTTCCAATTTCAAATACAAATTCATTATTTACTTTTCATAATCAATCCAAATATTACCACGTCCAGTAATAGTTTTTAATTTTAAGCTGAAAAGGGGAGATAATCCATGTCGAGAAAAACTTACATTTTCAATTTTAAAAGGATTTACAGCTAAATTCAGCTACATGATAAAAAAAATTGAAAGAAAAAATACACTACAGCCAAACAGAAAGGCAGCACTTATTTCATAGACACCAAACCTTATGGCAAATAAAATAATATTTTTGTACAAATGATCATTAATTTCCAATAGTCATTGAAGAGTTTCATTCAAAAATTTGGAAATTCACTTTTTCGTCAAGGTTGAATAAATGTCACGTATATATTTATGCATGTTAAAACATAAATAACATTTCAAAACAATTTCTTTATAGTTCCAAATCCAAATACAACACAATTATTTATTTTCATTTATCAAAATATATTTCTGTACAGTATTATTTCTAATTTCAACTTGAAAAAGGGAGATAATTCATGTTGATCAAAAACAACAAAACATCATGTTTTGAGGATTTCAGTTACCGGGTATCAAGAAAATAATATATATCTATGATTTAATAAATAGCCAAACCAAAAGGCTGAGTAGGTTTCATAGATACCATACCCTATGGAAAATAAAAAAAAAATCATTTGCACAAAAATCATTGTGATTAATAATTCTACAAAAAAAGAGAAGTAGCATCATCTTTTGTCAGTGTCCAATATATACACCATGTACACATGCAAGTACATGTTTACAGACATGTTAGAATATCAGTTTACATTTCAAAATAAATTCCTTTACATTTCCAAATTCAAATACAACACAAATTATTTTTTTCGTTAATGAACAGTAAAATGTTGTGAAAAAAAACATTTGAAAATATTAATCATATTGATATTGATTGCTAGATACATTTATTATATAATCATTGTATATGTAAACACAATTTTAAAAGTTTTACATCTTTGTAAGGTGCAATCATGCCACTCAGAATATCACTAATCTCCCCTGCTTCTCTTCTGTAGTAAGTGACTGCCCTTTCATTATTAGCCTCTTCTAAAAGCACTTAAGATCCTTGGGAAGAGAATTGCTGCCTGAATAACATCATCCAAAGTACCATCATGGAATCCACTGAACTCTAATCCTTGCTTTTTGACAGCTTTAAATATTTTATTTTTCATTATTCCTAAAATAATAATTACAATATACATATACATGTATTTATTATTCATCAAATGATTTAGAACACTTTAGTTTATGCTACATTATTATTAAGGTACTAAATGGTTATTTTGTTTTTATAAATTACTTTACACGGAATATCAAGTTTATATAATGCGGTTATTTCATAAAAAATCTTAAATGGTTGCATGACATATTTTCCCACCTTTTTTCTCTATTTTTTAAGCTCCATGTGTGCCTTGGTTATGAATCCCAATGAGAAAAGCCCTTTTTTTCATTCAAAAGTCATGATCAAGGTTCAAGTTTCTGTAAAGTTTTACATGTCCAGTCAGGTGTTAAATTTGTAATCTTTTAGAAATATGTTTGCCTTTGACAAAATTTGTGCATCTCAGGCAGTTAAGGATAGGTGAACCTGACGTTTTTGAATCCACCGCGCAACTCGAACTGCGGAAGATGGGAACGGTCAATGTCGTGATAATAGATCATATGATTTTGCTTAAACACAAGTTTAAAGGATTTAACAGTGATTAAATAGTAAAATATGCCTAACTAAATCAACATTGCATGAATTTGATTAATTTTGGCTGTTTGACTGTTCCAAACCCGATAATTTACGACATTACTACCTAGCCGATTTGCGACGCCATGTTTTGAAGAGAAGAATGCGGATGCATTTGCAAGGAAAAAAGCAGTTTATACGCCGAAAATAGATTATTCTGTTATATTTAGACGAAAATATACAGATTGGTGCCGTTCTGTTACGTGTAACAACTGCACAAGCGATGTCACACTCACCCCGAATGCAGTTCCACGTTGTACTTCATTGTTTTTCACGTAAGTAGGCCTAAACTAACAGCAGAATATAACCAAACACAACACATGGATAACCGGAGTTGACCTGACACCTTATACATTTATTTATTATTAGGTTGTAATTTATAGCTGTATAACATCATCGAAATTCAATTTACCCTCTGTTTCAAGCCGGGATCAACAATGATTCGAATATTAGCCTACAGAAAATTTGCACATTTTTCACAGATATATTCAATAAAAATACACGGTTTTATAATAGTCTGAAATGTAATTTTCATAAGTTATTTATTGAATTTACTCTTTGTTTACCAGTGTAAAATATTACCAAATTAGGCAAATACTGAACAGATGCTGAAATAGCAATTCGATGGCTAAGTAACCAAATTACATTATAGACAAATCAGTTTGACATACATATATATACATGTATTTTCACCATCTCTTTGGGTTTTCGACGAAATCCTGACTTACGATAGCTTGGAGTCTGTCAAGTTATTAAAGGAAGTAGATTATTTATACCTAGTCAATTGTAAATCAATACAAGGTCGATGTAAAGTTCTTTTGGAACACTTTGAACAACTCAAATCCACAAGATTAATATTTTTAGTGTTTGCAGTTGGCAATGTTAAAGTTATACATGTAAGTAGCATAAATAATGAGAGAATCATTTTCTTCTTTACTGAAAACCTATAACACGTACTGATCAGTTCATCATTTTAGCACGAACACAACATTACAGAACTAACACAACGTGATGTCATAATATGTACAATACGAGGGTTGATCCAAAAGTTCGTGGAATTTCTTTCTAAAATTTTATCAGCGATTTGATGAAAGCAAACAACAGGCATATTCATAATATAGAGTCATTATGCAACAATATTGGAAAATTTTACTACTTTTCAATTACCAATGTGGTCACACGAGCTTTCTGAAAATGGATAGTTGTGAAACCCGGGGGAGACTTCGACGTAACGTCAAGTTAGATATGTCACGTCACGTTATACATGCAACTCACGCTAATTTAAATTGAATTCGTAATTCTACAAAAAGCTGTCTTTTTCTCTATTTTTTTCTTTAAAAAGCCTGGGTTTCCTCTCGCGCCAACTTATCTTCATTTTTTACTCATATTTCTATAAACTACCCATCTTTCCATATGATGTTCCAGTAATGATCCAATTTAAGTAGCAATAACAATAACAGTACCGCAGCCGACAACGTCCATTAACGCTTTTAGTTTGTTTAAGGGGATCTGCACCTAAAACAGTCTCCAAAAAGCCACCACTCCTTTAATCAACGTCCATGGCAGTTTTATTTTCTTAAATTTCTCATGTCACCGAAAAACCAGTCACTAAATGCATTTTTTCCCAGGCTTTTGTCTATTATATACGCGTTTAAGAAAGAGTGGTCCCGGATTTTTCACAAAACGTATGACTTTACCGAAATTTGACGTTGTCTAACAACTAAAAGGTGAACCATAAATAATAAATTAATAAACTAAATATCCATTAAAATCAGTAAAACTTTCACACAAAGGTTTATAAAAGACCAAGCAATCGTAATAATGACATAATTTTCGTTTATATACCACACAGACCGGTTTAAATCTCAGGGTTAGGGTTAGGGTTATTAAGAATTAAAATGAAAATGAACGTGTTAATGTCTCCCCCGCATTACCAAACAACCGTTTCTATGGCAACTGCCATAGGGTTACTATCAAAGATATTTAAACTATTTTAAAATCTAAAATATTCATCAAGTGTCTATATTTTCATTTGTAATTTTCAACCAATTCAACTTAAAAATGAATAAAATATGAAAAAATTCCACGAACTTTTGGATCAACCCTCGTATAAGCATGATGAAGCATGTAGCAGAGAAAAACATTTATATTCTGTATAAACCACAGATAATACATAATTTTTCCATTGGTGGGGTTAATTCGTTGCATAGTATTTTAGTGACTGAGTGCGGGATGATACCTAGTCAGTAGACTCGGCTCCGTCTCGCCAGGTATAAAGTTTACTATGCAGGTATTATCGTGTACCCTGTCACTAAAACACTATGTAATTTATAGTCTGTGCAGTGCAAAATTTGTCTTATTTTAAAATGATGTACTATTTAAGATATGACATTTATGTGTAAAATGACGACCAATTTATTCCTTCAACCAAATTGAATAATTTTGTGACATATCTTTTTATTTGAACAGGTATAGAGAAGGAAAAGAATCAACATATGTCAGCAGTTAAAATCCACCTACTCAACTCTAGATAGCTGTTCCTGTGGATCCAGATGAATGAAAAGATCTCTGTGTGTTGCAAACAATAGAATGGGTAGGAGTGAATGAAAAAAATAGTTTTTTTAAGATTAAAAAAATGAGGGAGTGATCTTCAACATGCATTTGAGTCTGATTGTGTGAAGGATGTTATATTTAGTTTCTTGCCTTGATATGGACAGAATATGAAGTGTCAGGTTTTTTTTCCAAGATCACAAGAGACAAATTATGACAAATTATTTTGTTTCATTAAAAATATTATATGTAAGGGGGAGGGGAGCTTCATTGTAGAGAACAATGTACATATTTCAGTGTAAATATTCTAGGTCAGATTAATCCCAATATCTATTCTCAGAATCAAATGGTCCTCCCTTTACATGTAACTTTTAAATATGATAATAAAAAATCCAGTAGTATAACATTATGAAATTTCAATAGTCAAGTAGTCAATCCTTATAAATTCATGTATCAGTAACTGCAAAGGCTTCAAATTCATAAACTGATTGACAATAAAGTAACAATTCAAGTTTTAAATACCCCTGGTAGATATTACTTATTTACATGTTTACTATATATATCCATACACACCATTAAGACATGAAGTTTAAAACTAAAATGAAATTTATTTTCTAGGCTAAGAATGGTATTGTTGTGTCAAAGCCTGAAATCTGCATGGCACAGTTGTTAGAGCAGCTCTCTATTTTCTCAAAGTAAAGAGCACTGTAGAACATGGAGGCCAGTCCTTTGGATGAGACTGCATAAACTGAGATCCCCTGCTGCAGTAGATGTTGGCTTGAAAAAGATCCCTCACAGCTCAATGGTCATAAGTACCGAGTGTAGGTAATAAGTTGCAGCCCTCCACCAGCAAGTGGTAGCGTCTTCATATGAGTGAAAAAAATTCTTGAGAGGGACATAACACAAAGCAAAGGCTGAAGTATTTGCTTCAGAAAAGACCTACACCTACAGTGATCATTATTTGAACAAAGTATGTGACAAAAAAAGCTTGCAGTTGAAAGGCAAAGAAAAGAATTCATTATGACAGGAAAGCTAACTTTTATAGAACACACTGTACATGTAGAAACTTTTGTCAAGGTTAAAGAAATAATTCTGTTTGACAAGAACAAACTTCTCTTTTTTTGTGTTTTATTTTTAAATGGTGTCCAATATCTCCATATGTTGTACATTCTAATATTAATTACATTGGAAATTAGATCTGTGCCAAAATATGTCATTGTAATGTTAGTTTTATTGTGTGGCCTTTTTCTTACCATGTAAACCTTAGTGCATAAAGACTATAAATTTTTTTTATTATTTCATTTTTAAAATTTTTTTAAAAATATCTATATAAACATGTTACAGCTAAATTCTATTAGTGCAAACACGGAAATAGCAAATCCATGGATATAGCGAACTTTATTTTAGATCCCCAGCTATATAAATTTAATGAATTTGTTTGATATAGCGAATTATGGTAACCGTTATAGCAAAGTAATTTTATAGGTCTTAGTGATTTCATTAAAACCGAGTTTTACTATAGATATTTTAAATTATACTGAATAATTTCTTTATTGATTTTTATCAATCATCACATACAGATGTGCTTTAAAAGTCAGATTTTGGAAAAAGATCGGTGGAAATTCAGATATTTTATCTTTTTTTCTAATTCATGTACAAACCAATTTTATACCTCATTCACAAATATAAACATCACTTCTTTAAACTGGTATTGAAAAAAAGTTCTAATTAGATCAAGTTATAAGATTTTTACAGTGAAGTTTGAGAAAAAAAGATAACTTTTAAGAGGCCAGAGGAAATTCAGACTGTATTTATGTGCATACCAGATATTTTATCTATAAAAAAAGAAAAACTTTCACTGGGTGAAAAAAGTGGTTTCCCATCATGGGAAACTTTATGGAAACCATATGGAAACCCCAAGTTTACATCATGTTTCCCAGTGGTTTCCGTAGCGGATGCTAGGTTATTCCGCCAAGTTTCCGTGACACGGAAACCCCCTACGCTCCGATTCCATAAGGTATCCCGAACCACGGAAACCTCTGTAAACCTGAAGTTTCCTGAACATCCATGTAGTTTCCCGTAATGGGAAACCTGAAGATTCCACTGGTTTCCAGAATCAGGAAACTTGATGGAATCGGAGCGTAGGGGGTTTCTGTTGAATGGAAACTTGGTGGAATCTTTAAGTTTCTTTATACGGGAAACTACATGGAAGCTCGGGAAACCTCAAGATTCCCTGAGTTTCCTGGACTCAGGAAACCATATGAAATCGGAGCGTAGTGGTTTACGTGGAATGGAAACTTGATGTAATCTTTAGGTTTCCTTATACGGGAAACTACATGGAAGCTCGGGAAACCTCACGATTCCTAAAATTTCCTTGACTAAGGAAACCATACGGAATATGAGCGTAGTGGTTTCCGTGGAATGGAAACTTGATGGAATCTTAAGGTTTTCTTTTATGGGAAACTACATGGAAGCTCGTGAAACCTTATGATTCCTGAAGTTTCCTTGACTCAGGAAACTATATGGAACTTGTGTAGCACTTTCTGTGTGGCAGAAACTTGGTGGAATTATCTGGAGTCCCATTCCTAATGGAAATTACTGGGAAGATTCCCTAACTTTTCTAAAGGAAACAATGTGAAATAAGGCGTATTCTTTTAAAAATCTATCAAAAAAAATTATTATATGTAAAAGAAAAAAGCATTACCATTTTATAAGTTTAATAATTCATTTGATGTACAAAAACTGTAACTGAATTTTTCAATGATATCAAAATATTAAATAAATTCATATATCTTAGATAAACAATGGAACAGTCTTTCACATTTAAGTCCATTCATAAGGGTCATTCAGTACTTCTTTCAACATCAGTTTCCTGGTTTTCTTCAAATTACCTATGATCTGCAATATGATGTCAGAATTATAATGCTTGAATATAACTTAGAAATCTGAAAGATCAGTCAATGTCCTTTAATATACCAATATCAATAATTACTTTCCATGACCATTATACATATGATTTCAGCACTTAATGTATCTCTTTAATATTTAATGCTTTATGATAAGTGAAAAAAAAACAAACATAATATAAATAATGTTTTCAGCCTTATTATGTCATTGAGAATATATTACTTCATGTATCTCATACTAAGAACCCTGCTTTAAGTTTGATTAGTTTGAGAGAAAACATACCCTTTATAATAACAAAAATATTAGGGAGAGATTTTTTTTTAATTTTGATATTCGACCTAGAAATTGGTCGAAGATCATTGCTGACCCTCCAACCCATTGCACAAAAGCTAGATTACACCAGGGGAGAAATATACTCAGGACTACGATTTTTGATAAAGATATACAGTAGATTTTGATACTGACCTTTGACCTAGAAAATTAGTCCAAGGTCACTCTTCATCCTCTATCCACAGGCTCTCTGTAGTTTAGGTTTGAGAGAGAAATATGCACAGAACGAGTGATATCAGAGGAGTGATGGGTAGACACTGTCTTAGGGCATCCACATAACAGGACCTAAAAATAATGCAATATTGTATTATGTATTACAGTATATATACACATGTACTTGTATGTAAATGATTTATCATATGCTGCATTGGACACCTGTGATTTTATCATGGTTTAAGTATACATGTATCTTATGAGTAATTTTATACCGGTATTGCATGTACGCTCAGTTTATTTAAGAAATAAATAACAAGTTTATAAACTTCAATGGGAGAGATACCACAAATGTATATATAAACAAGTAATTTAATTTTTTTTTTGCATATATTGACCAACATTATTTACATCTATTCATCACGTTCATGAATTGGCTGATCAAAATTCAGTCAGTTTTAGATCTATATGATATACCATAAAGGACTTTCACATTTACAAAAGTTATTCCCCTTCATAGGGTCGATCTGGGGTCAACCGGCTTAAGAAGCTGTTTTCCCTCTTTAACCGCATCAACTTTGAGGGACAATATCTTAGAAATAAAATCTGTATGAACATGTTCATTATGATTTTCATGTTGCCCTCATACTCTGGCAATACAGATACAGATCGTAATTGTCCAATATTTTTGAAGATTGAAAATATTAACAACTTTTCAAGTAACTTACTTTAGTGTGCAGTTTTTAGAGCTTCCTTTAAGTAATCAAAATACTGACCAGCAAGATATCAGTTGATAAGCATTTCCTTTTTTTCATTCCAATTTTTGGAGAGATCTCAGAGTTTTTTCCTGTTCAATTCAGGTTCAAGACGTCAAGTTTTATTGAAGTGTATCTATTAGAGAACTGATTGTATGCCAATCATAGCAATACACACATAACATGGAGGGGGCAAATTGTTTCAGCCCTAGCTTTTACATAAAACTTCTTGTAGCTCACAGCTGATATACCACAGTTCAGTATTTAAATAAAAATTTAGAATCTTTTTTTTTAGGCAATTGTCATATACATACTAATCATGAATGAATTACCACTTACCAAATGACCACATCCTGAATCATCATACATTTTCTATGATTTTATCTCACTGGTTTTCTTTTAAAGTCACATAGTTTTCTTCTCTCTGAAATGATAAATTATGTCCAGGTACTATTGCATTCTAATTTAAACTAATTATGTAATAGCATTAGCAACAACCGGGATGGCAGAAAAAATAACCAGAAGTCTCTGTCGAGACTGTAGCTCTACTGGTTTGTACTTATCAAAAACTGATGCACAGAATTATGTCTCTTAGTATAGTTTACTTGTGTGCCAAGTTATATTTAATCGGATAAGCAGAGATTGAAGACACTTTTTGTGAAAATATCGATGCTTTTATCAAAATTTTGAACCAAAAATATTAAATCTATACCTTGCCATAAGTCGTAAGTTAAAAAAAAAACAAGAGCTGGCTATCCGAAAAGTCAGAAAACACATGTATTCAAACCGGATGTTCTACAGTCTGAATTTAATTACGAAACCATGCTCGGTGTAACTATTATCATCCGGATAATTTGAGCGGAGTTAAAAAATATTTTTTTTAATTCCCAAAAGTATTCATTTATATATAGAGAGAGAACATACATATGGAGCATACATTTTAATAAACATGATAAAAGGCGAAACGTTGCCATTTTACGACAGTTCTAAAGCATGTACATGCACGGTGCCCTTAATATTTGGGGCCTCCTTAATCTAAGTTATGCTATATCACTGTCTCATTTTTTTTCTCACTCTGTCTCTCTCTTTCTCTCTGCAATATATACACTTAACAATTTAAAACTTAGGTATCCAACTTTTCAAAATGGCGTCAGAACAAAAGTTGCCTCCAATAGTGAAGATTTGTTGTTGCCAAATATTACAACTATTTACCGTAAAAAGTTAACAAAAATATACGTACACTAATCCTTCATCGTTGGCCATTGCATTTATCACAGTCTTAAAGACACTGGGTGGTGAAACCATCTTAACTTTACAAATTTACCAGCTGCTTACACCTTCTTCTTCGTCCTTCTCGATCCTCCAAAAATGGCGCCTCGGGAAATTGACCAATGAAATAAAGCGCCTACAGAGCGATGCAGGATGGGAAATATAAACTGTTTATATTCACTATGATTAAGTGTGATTATGAGATCTTATATTAGAATTTAATTAAGTTTTCCCCTTTCCATGGAATAAAAAGAGGGCTCTTAAATATTTTAATTTGCCGATATGATGTGTAGGCCTAGTATATTTAGAAAAAAAAGCGGTTAGATACACGAGGCAAGAGCAAAAAAAAATTGTTTCTTGCTTGACACCTCAACTTATTTGCCTTCGGGATATGGGTTTCGGGGCTTAGTGATCGTCCTTGCTGAAAGTAACTCCCCCCCCCTCCCCCTCTCCCCGCTTCTTTTAACTGTTACATGTATGATTATGAATTTATAATGTCACACCAAAAGATGTTAAATTTTTCAAAGCACACTTTTTTTATTGTGAACTTTCCACAGGAATCATAAAAGGCATGAAAATGAGCTACAATTATAATATGATTATCAAGAACAGTTTTTTTTTATTTCAATAGTGATGATTGAAAAGTTCGGTGATTAACAATTCATTGCTGATAAATTGTTGTGTTTTTTTTTTTTGGGGGGGGGGGGTTAAATTACTAACTGAACTCCCTCCTTTTCGGGGTTTAATTAGATTTTGAGCCTGCTATCAATATTACTGGAGGACCTGCTAGACTTTTCTCTAATTCCTACATGTACATTGTACTTTAAACTCCTTGGTCTTTAGCTAAAAAAAAATTCCAACATATTTTAACACGTAAAATTGTTAGTAAATGAATCAGAATGTTGAAAACCTTTTTCTTAGGAGAGTTATTTCTCTAGGTGGAACAAAACTGACATCTTATCAAAGGCAGGAAAATATAACAGTATTTTAACTCAGTATTTTAGTCATGATTGGTATAA